CTCTCCCTAAGAATTTTTTTTAATATATTAGTTTTAAAGGATTAGGGGGAGAAAAAAGACTGTGTGCCAAAGGTTGATGTGGCCTGTAAAACCTAAGATATTTACTTCCTGTTCCTTTGAAAAAGTTTCCCAACCCCAATTTACTAGCCAAGTTCCTTAGTTACTTAAGCTCCAATTCTGTTTCTTCATCTGTAAGATGGCAATAGTGAGAGTACATTGACGGTTATTAGCCACAGGGCTTTGTTTTTCTCTCTGAATTCCCAGGAACTTAAGTCCGATTGCACTTGTGAATCAAGAGTTGGCCTGTCACCATCATCCTGGTCCTGGGCATCAAGGTCATAACCGGGCTCCCCAGCTGTCCCACTAGAGAGATGTGGCACATACCAAAGACACTAAAAAACCACATACTGCAGCTTAAAATAGCATAGGACTAGCGCCAACCCAGGGCACTTGGCCTGAGCAGAAACAATGAAAAAACTAAAAACCTGGCTTCAAGTTAGGAGGTTTGGAATTTAGAACCTTGAACCCCATCATTGTCATGTGACTGTTTTAAATGTTAGCGTCTAATTGCCTCTCCCTCTTTGAACTGCCCACATCTGAGAGACTGTGTCCTGCCAAGAAGGGAGGTAGTTCTGACATGTGGATCAACCTGGTTGTGCCTGTAGCCTGGGGTTGCTTAAGGCTTGTGGGCTAGGGGTTTTGAGCAGCACAGGATCCTTGTAAGGCTCAAAGGATGATCTGAGGGGCCCAGTGGCATGTGTAGAAGGGGCTGGGCCTTCCTGTCTGGAGGGTTGACGGACTGTGGTAGCTTGAGGAGGCAATAGAAAGAGGCTCTGCGGCCCACTTCTGCAGACCCTTGAAGGTTTCCTCTCCAGGGGATCATAAAGGTAATGTCCCAGCAGTTGACTAGTGGAGGGTCCAGCAGCCCCCGGGAGGGGCGACCGCATTTACCATTTCTGCCTAAGCCTTCTGTAGCTGTCCTGGAAGTGGTATGTTTTTGTTGTACCTGGGGGTGCGACTTGGGGGTGTGTCTAGCCAGATATCCCAAATATCCCAAAATTCATTTGCCCCTCCTAGTAGGAATTCTGGCCTACTTTTAGCCTCTAAGAGTGATTTTAAAATAACAGAACTGAGGGCCGGCCCGTGGCTCACTCGGGAGAGTGCGGTGCTGATAACACCAGGGCCCCGGGTTCGGGTCCCATATAGGGATGGCCGG